CTAAGAATCTTGATTCTTTTAGCCCCGTATTCCTTTGCCTGCAGTAGCCCTGCAAGGAAGGCTTCGTACTCAACCTGATTATTTAAGGTGTAGAGAATGTTCAATGGACACTCCTTGTGGTTTTTCAACTATGTCCCCGGCTCTGCTGCCCTTAACATTTGATGATCCATCTACATACAAAGGTTGGTGAAAGCATTAAATGCGGGGAATCATAACCAATCAACGGTATTGCTGGACGTCCAGTAGCTGGAGAAATAATTTTGCCTATATATATATACATATATATATATATATATATATATATATATATATATATATATATATATATATATATAGAGAGAGAGAGAGAACATTTCTCAAGTTACTTGAGATATATTTATCTCCGGTCACCCCAAAATCATGTTATTTTGTTTATTTATTTTCTTATATTAATTGATTCACCTTTGAATGGTTATGATTCTCTTTTTCTCTCTCTTCCTTTATCACCATTGATCCATTTTTTTACGATTATAAATTAGTGGCCGGAAATAAAATTATTTTAAGTGACTTGAGAAATGATAAGCTTATATATATATATATATATATATATATATATATATGGAGAGAGATCATTTGACTCCAGAGTAAGATTTATAAGTCTTACTCTTTATCTCAGCCCTTGATTTTCGTCCATCCAACGGTTATAGTTTAAGAAGTTATATTAATTAATTAATTATTAATTATATTACAAATGACAACCGTTGATTTCTGTCCATCAACGATGAAGATAAGAAGTAAAACTTAAAAATCTTACTCTGAAGTCAATATATATATATATATATATATATATATATATATATATATATATATATATATATATATATATATATTGCGAAGTAATGAACTGTACATATAAAAGTCAAGGTTCAATTAATTGTTTTAAAGAATTTTGTTTTTTAATTCATTAATTTGTAAGCTAACTCCTGAGCGTGTACGATATAACATTATATAATAACTATATGGCTCGCAAATACATAAATTATTCTTTGATTAAATATTCTTTTGAGTCCTTAACCAAAAAACACATAACTCATTTTAATCTTTTAAAAAAAAATTCATAGATTAGTTCTTTTTGAGAACTTAATATGGGTCTTCTTTAAATTTTTGAGGGACCACAATTTCAAAAAATAGAAATTTCAAAAGGACTACAAGTTGATTTTTTTTAAAGAATTAAAATAAGCTCCGTAATTTTTGTTTAGATCCGAAAAAGTATTTATTTTTATTCTTTTCATATAATCTCACTCATATTTGATTTTAGCATATGGAAGTGTCTTGTAAGTACTTTACTCCTATCTTCTGCCATAACATTAGACAATAAACTTAGCTTTTATACTTCTGTTATTTGCAAAGGAAATTTTTTGAAGCAATATATAAAAGGGAAAGCAATTTCTTATGTTATCGGAGTAACTCTTTCTTGCACAAACAAACATAGGAAGGAGAGAGAAAAAGAGAGGTGAGAGAAAGTTAAAAAATGGGACCTACTAGCATTTTTGTGAGGGCAGGAGATAGTTACTGTTTGGCAGTAACATAAGATATTGTTTTCCCTATATAAAAAGTCACAATATGTCCATGAATTTTGATTTTCTTTTTTTAAAAAATCTATGAAAATCACTTTTTTTTGTGTTTGCTTTACCAAATAAAGTGATGTAACAACAGCAAAAGTTGGGACCCATAAGTTTAATATGTTTTCTAGCAAAAATGGGTTCAATGAGTACAATCAAACTTCATAAATCCAAATGTCACAAGTTCTTATTTTTCTTATAATTTTTTATCATTCAAATATCTGTAAACATTATAATAAATAAATCATTTAACTTTAGAATGGAACAATATTCTTTTTTCTAATCTTTTTCCTAAAAAAATGTTTTTCAAACTATCAAAAAAGTATAGCTATAAATAGCCGAACGCGTGACAACAGATACTGATAATTATAAATTTATAATTATGTTTATATGTTACATAATTGAATTGGGTTAAGTATACATGACGATACTTCAAACCTTATACCAGTCCCAACTTATAGATTGGGCCAGGGATTAACTACTTATCTAAGTTTTTTATAAAGAGAGAAAAAAAAAATTGTGCCTATGACCTATTTAATAAACAAATTTTGTAAATATCATGTTAAAATACGAGTAAGAGGCTTGATCAGAAAATTCTATAGAAAATGTTTATATTAACTTGTACAAATTTAAATTAAGTCTAATGATGCAAAAAAATATTTGTATTTGTGCACGGCATTATCTATTTGATTACATGTACATTTCTATTAAATTTTTTTCAGTGTTGTTATTCTTACATGAAGACTCATTACAATCGTTTTTTTTTTTTTTTGGTTTTTTTTAACTAGCTCCTTTTGCAGAAATTCATAGACATTCATTTAAACCTTTTGTATGCCAAATGAACCATTCAAAGTTGGTTTGGGGTTAAAAATTACTTAATTGTATGATCTGCAAATAACGTTAGGAATTCATTAAGATTGACTCTATACACGACTCACCCAAATAGAGATCCCCAACCAATATGACAGAGTCTGATCTAAATTTTACAATTTACTCACAACTACTATATAAAGAATTTCAAATGAATAAAAACAATATAAACATGTGGTGCAAATTGAATTTGTCATTCATGAAAATGACATAATTTGTTAGCTTAGCTTAGCAGCAGTCAGCATGGAGGTTGAAAAAGTGGGAGAATACTAGAATATGGCCACCCACGACTTGGACATATCCATAATCCATTCATAGATGAATGACTATGAATCATATTTTATTTTTTAACTTTTTTATATTCCCTAAAAAGGAAATTTCGTATCTCATAAAAAAAATTAGGGAATCCATTTTGCATTGTTTATATTAACAAGCCTGTTTGTATTAAATTATTGTAGGCACAACCACTATGGTGTTAAGAATTATTTAACAAATAAAGCCAAAATTATTTACAAAAAAAAAAAATATATAGTGCCTAAATTTAATACAATCATATTATTAAGAAAAAGAGATATAGAAAATTATAACAATTATTGATATTTCATTACAATAATAAAAAAAAAAGTTCCACCATAAAAGTTTAGACTGACTGGATTGGTTATGTAGATGAGAAAAACTATTCTTAATGTTACGTGTGATAACTTTCTCTTCTATATACTCTTCGACAATTGTGTTACTTTTTTTTTTTAGATGATGGAACCCACAAATTTATATCTATAATATGAGATAATTTATTTATTTTAATATGAGATTAATAAAATCCTAGATGATCTGATGATGATCAGGTTTAGCATGCGACTAGAAAGTCACTGTCCTCTCAAGTTGACAAAAATTGTCACATGCAGAATCATCGACCGGGATGGGACACCAATGAATAATGATGCTTTTAGGAGAGTTTTTTATTTTCCTTTTTTGTCCTTTAGTTTTAATACTCTCTTCTAGTCCCTCCCTATCTTGTACTGTAACATGAAGCTGAAATTTTAGCATGTATATTTGTGGGAAATTGTTCAAAAGCACCTCTGTAGTACATGTTTGGAGTTACTGAGAGGAGGAAGACATTAAGGGTTGGTCCCCCACCTCATAAACACATGATAACCCCTATTCTGACAAGTCGCCCAATGGACCAGCCTCCTTTGGCTTAGCTCAGGTTTGCGGGTTCGGCACCTAACATTCCACTCTCCTCAAACACCTTAACACCTGTTCCCGTGGACCCCAAGAAAGAAAAGAGACTCTTTCTCGTTGATGATAGACTGATAGAGTGATAGTTGTTCTGACAGTACAATAAAACAGAGAGGCACATGAACACTGGCATCCATTTCCATAGGTTTGGTATGCTATATTCTCAACATATATGAGAACATGTGTTCGATTTTTCATAGTATTGTTTTAGGAGGGGTTTAAAGTCTTCATTTGGGATTTATAAATAATCATTTTAACCCAAAATCTTAAGATGTTAGGTGAGGGTCTTTTTAATGATTTATATATTCTCTAACATACTCCCTTTCTTCACACAAGAGTCCTTTAGACTTGAAGTGTATATATTGTACAGGTCCAATTTTTTGTTTACCTTTTTTTGTGCTTTTTATTTAATTTCACAAGTGGAGGCAGTGAGGATCGAACTCGTATACTATGTAAAGAACTACTTCAACTCAAAACCTTAATGTCTTAGGTGAGGGTCTTTTTAATGATTTATATTATTCTCTAAGCTCCGAATCGGACTAGTCACGAAGCAATTAATAGATTAAAATATTTCTAAAAAAAAAGAAAAAGGTATTCAACTAATTGAAGGCTCTTTGCTACCAATTTAGTAACATTATAAGGGCAATGACAGTCACCCATTTGCATAGCCATTGGACGAAGCCTATCCTCATTCCTACAAAATTGCAGGGTGGCTCATTAGTCATCAGGGTGGCATTGCCATTGGATGACTCGGTAGGTATCATGGTCACCCAGTAGCGAAATCAATTGCCAAAAAGAAAAATAAAATGTAGTTTCTTGCTTAAAATATAGGCGTTCTAGCTTTTTAACCAGTCCATCTCTTGTCCTTTTGGTCAAATTCGATCTCGCGGATAAAAAAAAACAGCAACATTTAGTGCTCTGAGTCTTGCCAAATGAAACTGATTTTACTGTCATTCTGGAAACGGCAGCGAGTAATGTAAACCCATCAATCTTCGTTGCCTAATTTGTTCAGATACTGCATGAAGAGGCTTAGATCCCAAACCCCATGGGAAATATTGAGGATTGCTTTAAACTACCAAAACTTAAACGAAAGAAATAAGACAGTGTGTATGCAGTGAAATAAGGTTGTAAGTTCTATGCTGGAAAATATAAAATACTCTTTCGTTTCTCCCCTCTCTGAGATGCACGAGCAGAGCCTATTATCTCAAAATTGGTGGGCAAATACCATGAATTTTGACTGCCAACAACTAATTTCAGGAAAATAGCCATTACAGTAGTACCAGTGCACTTGAAAAATAGCATTTCCTTCAAATATAATTCATCCAAACTAGGTCCATAATGGTTTAAACAAGAGGTAACAATCAGGTGCCAAGTCTCGGAATACGTCAACCAGTTACTGAATTTTTACAAAGAATTTTGAACGCAAACACTACTTATGGTTTGCCTTTCATCTGAATTACAATATAGGCTAGGGTGGTGCCTGCGGGGGCTTAACCTGGTAATAATATTGAGATGTGTTGCTGCTAGGTGCGCTGGATGAAGTAAAACAGAGACTCTGGGGAATTGAGTTCATAGATCTTGTCGGAAAGATGGAAGTCGATGGAAAGGTAGCTGAAATTGAGAATCCTGATGATGCTGCAGCAGAGAACTGTGGTACTGGGGTAGCAGTGACCTGGCCATGCGTTTGCCACGCCCAATCGGGGAGTCCTTTTGATGGATCTATGCTGATTCTATCTGCTTTTTCCTGCTAAATATTTCAACAATCTTTTACAGTCTTACAAAGATTTTCCCACACAAGAAAACATTCCATCATAGAATTATTTACTCTCAAAAGTTCAAAGGGCAATGATGCGTCGCCCAGGACCTCTTGATAGGCTACAAAAATAAAATGAATGTAGCAGAACCTCCAGTGAAAATATTATGACAATGCCGTTATAGGCATCGTTTTCAAACTATATAGCCATACTTCATAGTCATATTATTTTTTTAATTTAATGACCATTATATTTAATGTGTATATGCATTATCAAAACGTATTCATGGACTGACCACTCCAAGTAACGTTTTTTAGACACATATTGGACCAACTCATTTTGTTAAAAGAATGAATGACATGGAACAAATATTCAATTTACATAACATACTACTGACAATTTCCTTGATTGTCCAACAACAAAGATTGCACCAAAAGCTCGTAGAAATTCATCAGTAAATTCCTGAACATAAAAATCAACTTTCACATGTGAAGTATCACATTCAAAAGTCAAGCATTCTTCATTATTCGAACGAAGACACTAGTAAGGAAATAATTCTAAATGAAGTAATCAATAAAGAAACAAGCAATCAACTCCAGTTGTAAAACTAAAGAATAGATAGTGAAATCACCTCACTGGGAAAGAAACTAGTAGACATGCCATTCCATACAAAAGGTCGCTCTTCAGTTACAACCAGCCTTTTCAAAGATGGATTTCCAGTTCTAGAATTAACATTTGTTTCCATCTGCAAATAAAGAGAATATAGCCTATTATGACCACAGGACATCAAGATTTAATAAAACAATACCAAAGACTAAATGTTCTGCAAAGATCAAGGATGTCAAAGGAAAACAGAATGTCATTAGCTACATGTAACCCACAAAGGCCATAAGAGCTCTGCTTCCAGATAAATATATCCTCAACAGTTGTCATGATATGAAGAGTGTTATTTAAACTTACTTGTGAGCATAAAGAGTTCTATCGACCTTTGTTCTGCATAATTTAGAAGAAACCAAAAATAAATGAAGATTAAAGCTCAACTATACCATTGAATTTGTTCCTGCGTGCATGTTGTAAGGTACGGAGGGGAACTGAAGTTGCCCCCAATTTTCTTTGGGACCAGGTCCTGGAGTCGCTATGCCCAAATTGAGGTCAAGATTGTGACTGCCACCTGCTATAAGAGTAAATACAAACCAGATTTCACAGACAGAACATTTTTTTATTCTGAAAATCACTTGGATATTAAAAACATAGGAAGATCTTTGCTAAGTATCACCTTCATTAATGGCTGCAGGTTTCATCTCTCCTTGGTATGAACTTGGCTCAAAGTTAGTCACTGCTTCCCTTCCACTGCATTTGATAGCTGCCTTGTCATAAGCCCTGATTTCCAGAAAATCAAAAGGGAGATACGTGTTGGATGGAACCCTAATGAGCTTGATAATTCAGGATAATAAATTCAGTGCAGGTAGAATGTAATTCATGTATGATTAGGACCTTGCAGCTTCTACTTCGCTGTCGAATAACCCAAGATATATATACCTGCACGAAAGCATTGCAATCTCTATAACCAAAACACTTTTGCCAATCGTTTCTTTGAAACATGCATCTTACTACGAAAAAATCGTAAAGACGCATTGAGAACTAAGCTGAAACCAATTCGCTTCACAGGCCAATAGACTTGAATACGTAATATGTCATATAATCAATCATAGTAGACCACTACTTCAGTTGATTTAAAAGTAGGTCCTCACTTTTTGCCAAGGAATTGCCCCATTCGAGCTTCCCAACGGCCACATTTGTGGAGTGTAACTCCTCGGTATTTTGAACTCCCCCTTGAGAAACCAGTACTATGGCGACGGAGTATGTGTACAAATTCCTCCTTGGATAAATTCTTCATCTGCCCATCAGTAAGAAAATGGTGAAAAATCAAATTATATGTACCATCAAGTTTCATATTCATCAAGTGCTAGTGAGTTTTCTCACCTGTTTAAGATCATCCTCATAATCACTCAGATTGAAATTGATGTCAGCATCAACTCCCCTGAACTTAATAGCAGCTCGATCATAGGCTCTAGTTGTGAAAATTCCAAGTCAATGGAGGAGCACAACAATCAAACTCTCAAAAATCAAAAGAAAGGACTGTTTCCTAAAGCTAAAATTACAACAAAGAAAATTAAAATACGTGCAAAGTGTAAAGTTTTACCTAGCAGCAGCATGAGCTGTGTCAAATCCACCTGCATGCTCAAATATCAATTTCGTCAAAAGACGCTCAAAATAGTAAATCATAGAATATGATTTTAAATGCTACGGAATTATGTACCAAAAAAAAAAAGGTACTAAAATGCATAAATTAAATATCCATACCCAAATAGACTTGTTTCCCGCAATCCCTACACCAAATAATTACAAAAATATAAGCACAAAAAAGAGTCAGATACAATTCAACCAGGTATTACCAAAATCAAACTTCACACAAAGATATATTTTCCTTCCTTCCCAGTAATAATCAAGCAAAGCAACTGAAAGACCTGAAAGAGGGGAGAAAAAAAAGGGGAAAACGCAAACAAAATAAAACCAAAGCTAAATTCATATTACTATAAAATTACGAACCAGATATGCGATTCCCATCTTCCGGTCCTCCTGTAGAAGGTGACCCCTCTGTATTGCGAGCTCCGAGACCTTGGTCCCCTCCTACTTTTCTTCGCTCGTTGCTGAACCTGAACTTGAACCTTCTTCACCTCGCCGTTCCCGCCCTGGCGATCGTACAAGAGATCAACCAACCCATTCCTCGGTGGAAACGACGACGTAGCCTGCCCTTGCCAATTCCCTGACCCGCCCTCGTCCTCTCCTTTACCTCCTCCAATCACGGGGAACAGCTCCTTCGTTACGACGCCGTTCCCTCCTTCCACTTTAAGGATATCGAAATTGAATGTAAACACGTCGTCGACGCGCGTCGAGCACGAGTCCTCGTCGCCTCCACAGTTGCTGGACCCGTCCGCATTGACGACGGAGGAATTCGAGGTCCCCGACTCCGCCATTTGATTCCATGAACCTTCTGGAAAATTCCCCAGCAGCACCGGCGAGTCGCCGTTCTGAGTCGAATCGGTCGAGTCCGCATTGAGATTAAGATCTAACATGGTGTTAAATCTTCAACTAAACTGAACTCTTAAAAAATTCTTCTTCTCTATTTATGATTTCTGAAGTTTATCAAAGTCACCTAAAACATACACAACTAACGTCGCTTCATCGTCGCCGGCAACTATGATTCCGACGGCGAAATTCGATCCGATCAAAAAATCAAATGAAACAGGTAACACAAGCAAACAGCTAAAGAAGTCGTAAGAGAGAGAAAAAAGAAGAAAGCAAAAATAAGATAACAGAATCACGAGGTAGTTCAGTCCGTGTGAGAACGCCGGGAAAATTTACCGGCGACCGGAAAGGGAAGAGAACGAGGAGGAAGAAACTCACAGAAGGAGGTGTTAGAAGGAAGCACGGCAAGCTCATTTCCTCGGCGATGAGTTCATCGTCGCCGGAGAGAGTGAAAACATCGCCAACTATTATTCCACAGCACAGAGAGAGAGAGAGATGAAAAGGGTGAAGCCACACTTTGAGACCCATTTTAAGAGGGAAGGAATATATAAACATTTTTCTTTTCTCTCGCAGACCGGTTGGTTCGGTTACCGGTCAGCGATATTGCAAATGGGAACAGATATTTTTTTTTTTTACTCTCTTTTTCTCTCTCACGGTCGTGGACTCACTGACGGAAACACCATTGGCCTAGTTGGGTTTTTCTTCATTTGGAATTGAGGATTGTGTCCTAAACGCGTAATTAATTAATTATTATGCTAAATAAGTACATGAACCTTGTTGATTTTGCTTATTATGGATGCAAAATTCTCAATAAACAAATTCTAAGGAATTGTGAGTTTGTTTAAACATGTCAGGTTATTTATGAGTTTCTTCATAAAGAATCGAATCAATCTATCCCGATGTTAACTTTAGATACATTAATTAATCCAATCATTTTTAAGGTGTGTTTCATTATGATTGATTATATTTAAAAAATAATCTACTTTATTGTTACAAACTCCCTCGGTAAAATTTTAATTTTAAATTTTTCTTAAATAAAATAAATTAATCCACTTATACATTTTAATTGACTAAAATTATAAAGACAAATAAGTAAGAGTAAGAATACATGCATTATAGGGGCTTGATTTGATTGCATAAGATATGATATTATAAAATTTGATAGTGAAAAGCGTAATAAACTTTTAATGCTATGCATTGTTTGGCACGACATGGTATAAAATATTATATCATATAACTTAATAATATCATATACTTGACTTTACTATATATATAACACTGGAAAAAAAAAATTAACACTTTTTGTAAAAATACCTTTTTACTCGAATTTATCTTGTATTCATCAAAATTTGTTATGTAATACTATTATTTTAAAAAAATATTCAAAAAAAATTAGAAAAAATTTTAAAAAATATTTGACTTGAGAAAAAGAATAAAAAGTTAATTTAAGTCCCTAATTAGAAGTATCAAGTTCATGCCCTCATAAAAAAAAATGATATTGAAAGAATCATCTTTATATGGGTCAAAAGAACTTAAAATGAATTAGTTAGTAATCGATAAACTAATAAAAAAAAATACACATTGTGATTTGTCAAAATACTATATATTTTTTATAGGGTTTAATGTGTGTCATTCAAAAGGACACAAGTTGTGTCCTTTTAGTGATTTACACAGAGTATGACCGGTCGTACTCTGTGTAATTATGAAAAGTTATTTTTTTTCACTTTATACGTTAATGATGTGACTAGGGAGAAAAAAAAAAACTTTTCAGTTTTACACAAAGTACAACCAGTCGTATTTTATGTAAAACACCTAAAATGGCACAAGCTTATGTCATTCAAAAGGATATTTCTTTTTCCCATTTTTATAAACTATGTATTAAGGATATTCATTAAAATTCAATTATAATTTTTTTCTCCTTACTACTTAAATCAATATTCATTTGTACGATGTGTACGTATTTTTTTTTTGTTAGTATATCGACTCTAATTATTTCTTGAGTAAAGCCTCATTTGGATCCCTAATAAAAAAACATGGTTGTCACTTTCGTTCTTTACACACAAAAAAGAAGTAAATTTTTGATTCTTCTTCAATTACAATTCTTTGAAAATATAAACACTCAAAAATTCAATGAAGATCCAATTTGATCTTTAAAAAATGATTGATATGGATATTTTTTTTTTTGTAAGAAACGAAACTAAGGAACGTGTTTTGTGTTGGGATCCAAAATAGGCTTTGTTTTTATTTCTTTGAGACCAGTCTACCCCCGTATATTCCTATAAAATTTAATTATTTAAGCTGACTATGAAACTAATCTCAAGTTAAGGTATAATCACATTTTACTCTCCTCAATCTGTGTTTGCTAACTAAATTACACTTATTCCACCCTATATAATATTCATCGTGAAACCCAATTACAGTGTGGCTGACATTGTTTCAGTTACGAGACTCTATTAATCGAACTATGATTCCCAAAATGGTGAAGGCATGTGGAACAAAACTTGGGAACCAACATAGCTAGTAGTGCTAGAGGACCTCATGGAGAAGGCCGGAGTCCTTAGGAGACCAACAGCAACTTCTTCTGTGACGTTGACGCTAAGACAAAAGTGTTAACGGAGGAAATGAATTCTCTCATACTTCATTTCATTAAATATAAATTAATGGTAATATTTTTAATTTTGGAGCATGATATTTTGATATTGATATCCAATCAAAAAGTTTGACATTATATTTTATCTTTTGATCTCGTGAATTTAATAGTTATAATTTCTTGAGTCATATTTATTGATTAATTATTAATTTTCAATAAATTATAACTATTAAATTGGTAGAAACTAACAACTATGATTTGGTATCAAACTTTTTAGTTTGACACCAATCTCAAAAGATCATATCCCATTGTAATAATAAAGTTCACAAAATGGAAAATAGAAAATGGTCATTTTAATTGGTGGTAGTTGGTCCATCAATAAATAGCTTAGTTTTTTATATGATGTAATTATATTAAAATGAGATATGAGATATGCATTTCCATACATAAAGGAGGTGAATAAAAATATTGAAATAAAAGTCAAAAAAAAAGTTTAAGCAAAAGGAGATATTTAGCGTTGTAATATAAAATATTTTACATAAACTTATTTATCAAATTATAATTTTACCCCAACACCCAATTAATTTATCATTGTTTCAAGAGAAATGCCAACAATATTTTATTTTCAACTTTCTTTTTTATAATAGGGCGATATCCTATATTGCCTTCACTAAATAATTTGAGTTCACTCTCTATTAATTGAACTAGCATATAATTTCACAAAACAATAGAGAGTGTTAAAAACAGAGGTTAAAAAATATAATGTTAGTATTATCTTATTTTTAACAGGGCAAAATCTTTTTACATCGGTATAAGAATAATAAATCTTATATTCAATCTTAACCGTTGATTTTTTATATCTAATAGTTGCAATTTATTGAGAATTAATAATTAATTAATTAGAATAATCTAACCAATTACAGACGTCATGAAAATCAACGACTAAGATTAAGTGTAAGACTTATTATTCTTATATCGATGTAAATGCATCATGTCTTTTTTAACATATAACAAGGGTTTCATAAATAAACGTATATATTATAAAGTCATAATATTTTAAATTATTTTAATCTGTTATATTTAATATGATATGTCAAACACACTTTAAGTATAAAATGAAGTGCCAAAAGGAAGGGAAAAAAGGAAAATAATCTATTAAATAAATAATATGTTGCTTTACTGTTTTTCTTAATTGAAAATTTAAGACTTTTAGGCTGTTTACTTGTTGGGGAATTTTATTTTATTTTTAAATGGAAAGAATGGCATGTTTAAATAAAACCTTTTTTTATCCTTAATTTTATACCATTCAACACATAAAAAAATGGGTGGGGTCTATTTTTGTTTTTCCTCTCTTTTCTATTTAGTGAATCCTACCTACTTCTTTATATATTGCATAAGATAATTTGTCTCATACAACATGAAAAATATATTACTCTTCTTAATTATACATAATATGTTGAGAGAAGTGATATCATAGCGCATTTCAAAGTAAAGTATTTTGATTAAACAAGTTTTGTATTATAATGACTATGATATGGAAAAAAAAATTCCCCATAATTCTCAAGATAATATAATGAACATGTGACAGTTAAAATAAATATCTTCAATATATAGCCATAATTTTTGTTTTTATTCATTTGAGTATGCTATGTCTGCACGTATTCTTTTTATTTTCTAGTAAAAAACATATGATTTGTACCGAAATCAAAAATTTACACGGATAATTTGTATCGCATAATTTTAAGTAATTGAAATAGTAAAAATATATATCTATTCACACAAAAAATAATAGGTAATTACCAAACAACTCCTTCAATAAGAATGTTCAAAATTGAAATAATTTAATAAAATTGAAAACATAAAGCTAAAAAAATTTAAAATGAAATAAGTTGAAAATTTAATTACTTTATGGGTTTATTATTTCTTATGTTATAAGAGATAAAATTATCTCCTACACGTACATAAAAATATGCGACTTATATTTTTTCTTTCTCTCTTCTCCTCAGCCCACATGGGCCCCACATACTTTTATATGTATAGGAGAAAAAATTTATCTCTTACAATATGAGAAACATTAAACCCCTACTTTATATCACTTTTTATATCTAAATTTAAAAATCAAGTCAATTTAAACTAAATTGAAATTTTATTCATATATATATATAGGAAAAAACATTTTTTCGGCAACTTTAGATAAGTTTATCTTCGGCCACCCCAAAACTACGTCGTTTTGTTTATTTATTTCCTTATATTAATTGATTCAGCTTTGAATGATTATGATTTCCTTTTTCTCTCTCTTCCTTTATCATCATTGATCCATCTTTGTACGGTTATGATTTAGAAGCCGGAGATAAAATTATCTCAAGCAGTTTGAGAAATGATAAGCCCATATATATATATATATATATATATATATATATATATATATATATTGGTAATCATGCATATGTATATTTTATAAAGTATCTTACCTAACAAATTTTCATATATTATAAATTGAAATCATGCACTTGTATATTATAAACATAGTAGATTTGGCAATTAATTTATTTGTATTTTGATGTATCTTGCAGTGGCGGACCCATAATTTTTTATAGAGGTGGGCGAATTTTTTATTTTATTTTATTAAGAAAAGTACATACAATCATATATGAACTTAATATAAAAAGTTTGAAAGAGTTATATTAAAAAATTTAAGGTCAATTCACTTAACTCTTGCTCTATGTTTTTTCATATTATTAAACTCTTCTATAATTGAATCTGTGGTAAAATTCAAAACAATTTCTTTTTCAACATATGTAATCAAAGAATTATCAAGAAATTGGTTTTTCATTCAATTTTAAAGTCTGGTCTCGATTATCTTCCATTCGACAATGGATGCGGGCTCTTTTCCTTCCCCAATATTTAGCTTAAA